CCCCAAAACCCCAAAACCCCAAAACCCCGCTACACTGAAATTTCAATTAAATCAAATGATATTTTATAAATTATAGATATATAATTAATCAATAAAGATGCAATCTTCCTAAGCTCAAGTTAATAGAATCCTTCCTGGTATTTCTTCCTTTGCCTGGAACAGAGACTGTTCAAAGATAGCAATCTGCCCAACTAATCAAGAAATATGGATCTTCAAGACTAATTCTACCGCTGATATTTCAAAATGGGAAAGAATTCAAGTTCTAAGAGAGGTAAGTTATTTAATATTATAGCAGTAATGCATTTGCTAATTTGCATTGAGAAATATTTGATTATTTATTTATTATAGCACTTGAATCCAGTGAGCTCTTTAGACTGGCATCCTCTGACTAATCTGTTACTTTCAAGTTCAACTGACAGAGGAGTTATTGTCTGGGAAGAAAGCAAAGACGTTTAAGGATTAAAGCCTTAATTAGCTGTAGTAAAGGAAACTAAGGCTAACATTGATGCTGCATGGAATCATAAAGGAACTAAATTCTGTGTTGGAGCTGCATCAGGTAACGTCTTCATTGGTAGTTTCTCTGAAGCAAATAACTTCTGGGTTGGTCGTGCAACTGGTATCTTATTATTATTAATTTTATGCAATATTAGGAAAGAAGGTTTTGCACAAATCCAGTGTTGTCTCAGTGAGGTTTGACCCTTAATCTGGTCGTGTTGTTGCTTCAGGCTCAACTGATGGAACTTGTCAAATAACTACCTGCTTCATTTCAGGCATAGATGACAGCAATAACCAAGGACCATTCGGATCCATTAATACCTTCGGAGAGACTTTGATTAAATTCTAAGCTCAAGGATGGGTTAATACAGTCAGCTTTTCTTCTGATGCTAACATTTTCGCCTATGCTAGTAATATCTTTTAAGCTTAAAATTTTCAGCCCATGATTGCGAACTTAATTTTATTGATGTATCAAAAGCAGCTTAAAAGGTTAAGGAAAAGCCAGAAAAAGTTCTCTACAAAGGAAATCCATTCTTGAATTGTTTATTCGTTAATGAGACAACATTTATAGCCTGCGGCTTTGATAAAGTTCCTTTTGTTTTCAAGAAAACTGCCTCAGGTTGGTAATTTTCTAAGTACTTGGATGATGGTATTAACAAAGTTAAAGAACAATAAATTACATCTGGAAGCTTTGATAATGCTTAAGCATTCTTTAAGAGAAGTGAAACTGAGAGAGCATCAGGTGTAAAGCTTGATGATGATGTAAGTATAAGAGAGATGGCAACAAAGCATCAAAATTATATAAACTGTCTCAAAATCTATGCTGGAAATGCTGCTAAACCACAAGTTATCTCAACTTCAGATATCAATGGGTTCATCAACTACTGGGATCTCCAATCATTATGACAGCTCTCATATCTTAAATTATTTACTTAGAAATCTAATCATTTGCAAATTCGCTCAATATGGGGTTTTGGGGTTTTGGGGTTTTGGGGTTTGGGG